CGGAAGAGCCGCAGTTCCTCTAACGGCCGCAGTTCCTCCTCCTCACCGACAGGGGGCGAAAGAGCCGCAGTTCCTCTAACGGCCGCAGTTCCTCCTCCTCACCGATAGGGGGCGGAAGAGCCGCAGAGGCGCTGTTCCCTTAACAGCAGCAGCTTTGAGCGTCGAGGTGAGTTAAGTCATCAACGATTATTTATCTTTTTTATTTACTATACTTACACTTTAGTCATCTTACAACCACGGAAGTGACATGAAATTAGAAAGTTAAACACGGTTTTTCGGATTATGTTTATTTTAGCTGGTTTTTTGTTAGCCTAGTAGCGTACTGCGCGAGACCTCCGTTAAAAACTGAGCAATTTAATGTTTGTTAACTTTTTGACTTTACAAACTCGTTACTTATATTTTTAATTTGAACATGATAAGAATTTCTATAATCTTAGTGTCTAATCGGCATGTTTATTTTTCACAGAGTCGCTTTAATTTTTTCAGAGTTTAGGTTGAACCCTTGTGAATCAGCTGTCAGCCTTTTTATTTTATTTTCATGTCATTTTAACAAATGTAATGATTCTGATTAAAAATGTGTTGTGCTAAATGATTACAAGTCTCTTAGACTGGAACATTTAGAAATATTAAAAAGTATTAGTATATGTGTTACAAACTTAATTGATTTTCTGAAGTCATTACTGTGATTCTGTGCATGTGCAGGGTCAGAGGTCATCATGGTTAAACAGGTGTGGAGGACAGACAGGTGAGGGTGGTTTCTGGTTGGTTGGTGGCAGCAGGTGGAGCTTCAGGTGTGTTTGTCGTTTCTGTGGGTTCAGTTTGATGAAGGTTCAGGTGAACTCGGCTCATGTTTGCAGATCACCTGTCTGCATGTGGACCTGCTCCGTCTAAACTCTGCCCTCTCTGCAGGTATTTCCTACCTGCTGGAGGCAGCAGCGTGGCAAAGGTTCGATTCCCTGTCAGTTCAACGCAGAGACTGCCGCCTCTACCTCAGCAAGTACATCAAACAAACGCACCTCCTCCCCGCCGTGGATCCACCTTACTGTCTGATTTATTGTTCAGGTTTCAGGGTCAGGAAGTTCTGACGGCCGGCTGCGCTGCTGCACCGCCACCGCTGAAGAAAAGGGAAGAACTGATGGGCGGAGCCACGCTGGAGGCCAGGGTTCTGATGGAGGTTCAGGAGAGAGTGAACCCAAGAGAGCCAGGCAGGAAAGGTCAGTGTTGGTTCTGATGATCTCCTCCAGAACTCACAGGGCATCTTTTTTATTTTTAGAAAGGAGAACATGAGTCCCGGGAAGGAGAATAATTTTCGTTAAAAACGTGCTGAGGTTGCTGGGATGTGTTTGATGTTTCATTCTGGACACGATTTTATAGATTCACACATTTCTGAACGTTTGTACGGAAGCCTCCTGTGACAAAATGCTGCACAAAGTCAAACCACATCAGTTGTTCTAGTTTTCGGGCGCTAAAGAAATACTCAGGTTTACATTTGTTTAAACATATTTTTAAAGTTCACACGAGTTTCTGGACTTCCAGAACTTTTATTCACCACAGCGCCAGCAGCTCTTCACGACTCTTCGGTCTGGCTCGGGTCGACTCCTCGTATTTAATGATCAAACAGAAGTTTTCTGCATATTTTCCACAGAAACGAGGAGTCTGCAGCTCTGACCAAAGCTTCTGCGTCATGTGATCCAGCAGAAGGTGTGTGTGTGTGTGTGTGTGTGTGTGTGTGTGTGTGTGTGTGTGTGTGTGTGTGTGTGTGTGT